ATAACTGAAGAATTTGCACGATTTAGACACGAAAATTAGTAATAAGGCTATATAAGAGCGGCCTAAAGAGAGAACAAGAAGACGAAAAATAGAAACTAAGAAAGAACTTTGAAAGAAAGAAGGAAATACAGAAAGAAAGAAAAGATTCGTAATCCTAAGAAAAGATTCTTGAGACAGTATCGAAGAGTTATTACGATCTATTGTAAAATCAATAAGTATCAAATGTTCGGTCAACCAGATCTTGCAACATTATTCCATTGCAGGAATTGAAGCTTGGTCCAGCTATTGAATTTAGTCGGCACTGGTTCAAAAAGTACCATACCCATAAAGGTCAGCTGACAAACTTGTGATAATTCTTAAAATGCGTGAGTTATTTTTTAAGTCGTTTAAAATCATTTTATCTGTGCTACATGAAGGTACATTTCGCAGGTTGACAATAATATTGAAAGATCGTCTGGGTAGTTTTAAGCATTCAGGGAACAACATCAAGAAGCCTCAAAAATTTCTTCCGCAGAAAGTACAATCAAAGTGGACGGAAAAAACTAAACCCTAAGTAAAAAAAAAAAAAGACAAAATGAAACCATAAACAAAAAACATGTCGCTTAGTAAGTAAGCAAGTGAGTAAGTAAACTCTTTACCTAAAGAGGGTAACACTTAATAGCCAATAGGCTAATAAACTTATGGCCCTCTTACAATACACTTGTACTAAAAAAGAATTGGTTCCTGCGTAGTTTGATATATATCGAGTGTGGATGTACGCGGAAAGTTTGGAGAGCACGAGAAAACCGTAAGAGTTGCCCAAGACGCAGCCGAGAGCAACTCTAGGTCCTTGATACACTTAATATACGCATAGCTAGAGTATGAACCAATTCTTTTATAACATCATGATAGTATACAGAAGCAAGTTGTAACCAACGTACCAGCAATAAATTTAAGAAGAGTTTAATTTCCTGACGACTCGACCGAACTCTTCTTATTTACACGCCATTGCCAGTGGTTTCTAAGTAGAGTATTACGAACATAATACATCAAGAGCGGAACGACTAATTGCAAGATTGTAAATAACAAGAATTATGTAAAATATAGGCAGTACTAATAACATAAGGAACACGGTACACTCGACGAAAGAGAAAGTTACCTGACGCTTTTGGAATACGGCGGCATAAGAATGTACTTGCGATTACCTTTTACTCGAGCTAACACCGTTATATTTGCATGATCCGCGCGAAAGTCAAACTTATATGAATGGCCGCGCGGACAGGAGCTAGGAGGGGGATTGGTTTCGACACAAGTGGTCGAAAAAATTTATTAGGTTTACCAAGTAATCGTGTTCTACTGACAAAGCAGAAACGACCAAGAAATATTTCGTGACCATACCTTTATTCAAAGAATTGTAAATTTTCTGCTCAGAAGCGAAAAACCAACGAATTTCTTACTTGTACGAGACCGCGTAGTAGATTCAGCATGCTTGAATCGTTGTTTTGTTAGAATCATTCTTTTTTTACTTACTGTGACACAGTCAGAAAATCGCTTCTAGGTTTGTGTTAAAAAATTTTCAATCATTCTGAAATTGTACGGTTTTAAAGTGAAATCTTTTTTTGAAAAATAATTTTAAAAAGTTTGAACACTTAAAGCGATATCAACCGTTCGAAAAAACGAAGCGAAAACTTTTGACTTACAAATTTCTTGCATTTACAAGACCCGTGCGGTAGATTTACCCTGCTTGAATTGTTATTTACTAGAATTTACGACCAGAAAATTGCTAAATTTGTGTTGAAATTTCTAAAAAATGGAATGATTTCAAAACAAAATCTTCTGTTGAACAACACTTTTGGCACACATCAACACTTCAATATATTATTTACCGTAATAATAACGAGTTCCAAACGTTGCAAAGCCTCAGTCGAAGTCAGAAAACTCAGTTTTGTTTTCAACCATAAATCGCATCGCGTTTGGGAATGAAGTATCAACTCCAAGACTAATTTCTTTTAAAACTTTGAGCTAATGCTGTCTGTCGTGAGGTGAAAGGTAAACTGTTCAATTATTGACATGTGGTAACATCTTATTTACATTTAAACCTTGGGCATACTAAGTTACAGTTTGCATACTTAGTGCTGCGAGTGTGGAGATCACTATCGCGTATTAAAAGGCTATTAATACACAAGAGGATTATTTCTGCAGTCTTTTCAATGCAATTAAACATTAGAAATTTTAGTCTCCTCGTAGAAAAGCGACCACCCATAATAAGTCTAGCTGCACGTTTCTGTAATTACAGCATAGTGTCTAGAAGGTCATTATCACAATCGGTCCAAACAACAGCTACATATTTCACTACAGGTCTTATCATGCTATTATAATATTGACATCGTTGCTTCATAAGAAGGTATGCTCCAATTTTCCTTAATATGCCTACACGTTAAGAAAGTTTCTTATAAAAATTTTCAACTTGAGGAAAGAAAGACAATTCATTATCAGGTTCTAAACTTAGTTCCAAGCTTTGACATTCTTCACATAATTATACGAATTCGAACTGTTACATAACATGTTTCTGCCCATCTTCGATCTGAGACGTTTCCCAGAAACAATCAAAGTTTTCGTCTTGTACATATTAAGTGTAAGCTTTTTGGCAGTTGCCCATTCGGTGACCTCAGATACAGATGTCTTCTGCAAATCGTTGAGCTTTGCGGTGTCTTCATAATGAGCAGATGATGTTACATTGATATCATCTGCATATAGATCTATTTGGGAAGATAACACGTAGAACGGCAAGTCGTTAATAAGATGAGAGACTTAACAATTGAAAAATAATTATAAATGATATGATAAACAAGAATATGCATTGACGTTTATTTTAGTCTGTTATATTTGCCAGTTTCCTCTCTCTTTTTTTTCCATCTGTCCTTTGATTTTATTTGCTGCGGAAGAAGCTTTTCAGCGTTCATTATTTGATGATTATTAGGAAGATCTCAACATAACAATCTTCAATATTAAGAAAGTCTCGGCCCGGTCCGTTTGTTTCTCTTATATCCTATCCTAATTGTCTTAATCATCGTAACTGATTATCATTATCGTTATCTATAGTTATTTGACTGGTGCTTCATTATTTTCATGTTTTAAACGTTTGTTGACATCACTCAATTCCAAATCTCACCTTTTTATGACAAACTTATTGAAGCTGAGAGAGACATTCCTGAAGAAAATAATCAGTGCGGAGCGACGACTTCGAGAAACTTGCCCAACGAGAACGACGAAATTTCTGGCGTAAAAGCTGATCAGAATTCTCTTAAAAAAGAGAAAGGACCTCCATCCAGCAGTAAGAGAAGCTCGTTGCTTTCTTTTATGTTTTGTCCTAGTAAATTGACTGTTTGAATTGCATAAGAGTAATAGGTACCTTTGTAGAGATGTGTACAATAGTATCTCTCCCAAAGGCTCACACAAGCAAGAACCTTTTTCTTTTCTTTTTCTTCCCCCTGTTCCTTGTTCCTCGAGGAAACGACTAATTAAGAAACACGAATGGGTAAGAAGCTCCTAACGTCAATCGCACCTTCTACGGATCCTCTTTAGTCAACTTTGCTTAAACCCTAAGTTTAAAGCAAATTCTCCTACAAGTGTTGTTCGGTGAGCCTTTCTCCCTAAAAGCAAACAATTATCAAAATGAAAACCACCACTAATTCATGTAGACGATTTATGGTAATTTCGCCTCATTGCAAGTTTACTCCTACCACCTTTGTGAGTTTGCCCCCCTAATGTGAAACAAGTTCGCCCCCACCTTTACCAGTTCGTTACCAAATCTTTCACTCCATTCGCTATCACAGAACGCATGCCAAACCTGTCAAAATCATGATTTTTTTGCGACCAACATGCAATTTTCACAGCAAAACCATAACGAGCTTCGATCAAAAAGCAAATTCATAGCCGTGTTAAGAATTCACCACTAATGCGCGAATACTGCAAAGCCTCTAAAACGTTTAGATGTTTGCTCGGAACACAGAGAAGTCGTTAGGAAAAATAAAATAGGGTCCTCGAAATCAGAAATAAAGAGTTGATCCGTGGAATTAGGGCATACAGTGAATCAGCCTGCGCCAAAACTTTGTTCAAATATGTTTTCTGATTTTATTGAACTTTAGTATTTATCTGTATCATTTCATCTCTCACGAAGGGACGCTTTCTACTCGAAGAAATAAAGGCGAGAGCTTTCAGAAGCTTAAGAGCAATTCCTCTGGCGATGAAAACAACAATCCTCACACCAACATAGTATCTTTAGAGAAAACAAAGAGAGTAAGTTCGGATACATGTTCATTTGGGAACATTCCACGAGAAGTACCAAAGGAAAAGGGCCTTTCTGGAGTTACCCTGCAGTCTGCAAGGCTCATGAAATGTGAGTACGCATAGAGTCCATCAATTAGCAACTAGTAAGGGTTGGCACCTGGGGAATTTCATCGATGCATTCGATAGAAACAAGGCATGTTGAGTTTGATATGCCTTTCCGCACTTTGCTGTACTGTAGAGAAAAATATTTCACTTTTTTGAAGAGTTTTAAATAGCTTTCTATATCTTTGTGGTAACTCCATAGAGACCCCTGAGGGTTTCTCTTACCAACCACTTAGATTTGTGTAACCTAAAGAAACGTTTTCCACCCTGGTTGGTTTGTAAATGGTGTAATTGGCGTATCTCGATATTGCGTTCCCGCGGAGGTCCTCCTTCGCACGATTCTCGTGTTGTTAAGCTTCTTCATCGTGGGTATTCATGCTTCTGAATTTTCTTTTCCATTGACCCCGTTGATGTTCATAAGGTGAAGCCCAGAGTGATTTGCGATCATTAAGCTTTATCTCGTACCAAAATGGGCGATGTTATGATGGGTGTTCTCTGAAAATGTGGAGGTCCGTGTGTGAGCAGGCCGGATGACTCTTTTGTGCCTCTCCATGCTGTTCTACTTAAGTCGTTAATTCTCGCTGATGCAAGATGCATCGCACTCATAGAGATTCCTGCAATCCACGCCACCTTGATTAGCTAGATGTGATCCCATAATCAGTAATTCTCTAAGTCCATTGCCCAAGCGGCGTTATTGACCTATGCATTAGGCTGTCACTGTGTCTTCCAGACTGTTTTTTTCTCGTCAACATGGGGGTGATGACTTACAAAAAATCTTCTGTAAGCTACCAGCTAAAACTTCCATCATTCACTTCATGTGCGCATGTAGGAATTATAATGTCATTTGTTGGTTAATATGATAACCAGAGTTAGGTACGTTTTAGAGAGGGACGCCAGTTTGAAATCCACCATCTGAATCACTTCGAATTCATCAGCTTCTCGCTCGAATTTTTTAACTCTGTCCAGTTTAAAATGATCGGTAGTTTTTGCTATATTGTTTTTGGCTGAAAGATCCAGGCAGCAGTGTCTTTTGGTGTCATTCAGTTTCTGTCTGTCGACAAAAATATAAAAAATTTCTGTCTGGATCGCCGGTTAAGAGTACGCTGAGAGACTTTTTCTAGAGGTTGGGGTCTGTTCCTCGCATTCATTTATCTTTCATTCAAAGCTTATAGTTTTTCTTGAAGCTCATCTAACAGTTCGATTTCCTTTACTTCAGCTTTTCTAGCCCCGAGCTTAAGATCTTTGATTTCAACAGATACACATTTCCTTTATATTTCTTTAGGCTCTCGAAGGCCGTTTGGAGTTAAAGTAAGAAAGGACTTCACTTATCAAAGAGGTTTTGTTTTGGATTCGGAAGAAAACCGAGAGGTGGAATTTAAATCTTTTGCAGGTGCACCATCCTCACATCTTCCATGGAAAATAATGGAAAAGGCAAAAAAATTCATTTGTGCCTGTTTAAATGGCGATAGAAAAGGTGTCATTTATTTTGGAGTTGAAGATAATCAAAGAGAGGGTTCAAAATTTCGACACGGAGAAATAACTGGACTCGATGTTGAAGATATCAAAGACGACATCACGAAAGCATTTCAAGATTTACTCAATAACCACATCAAGAGTGACGGTGGACCACTACAAAAAGGAGGAGAGCAAAACTGTGTAAATCTATACTTTGTTCCCGTTAAAAGCGAAGGAAATAAAGTCGATCCATATGTGATAGAAATTGAGGTTTCCAGAGATTGGCGATTCTGCAAAGATAATGTCTATTACTCTAAACGCTGGATCGAGAAGAAGACAACGGATGAGAAAAAAGATGCGAATGGAAAGAAAGGACTTCACGATCTCTTCAAAGTAAAGGGCGATGAGCTTGATGACGTGGCAATCAGGACCAATGGGGCATCGGCCTGTGTGAAACAAGATGAAGTACGGTGGCAAGTGAGAGAGCCTTTAAAGACAAAGTTCGATGGGTGGAAACAAGAAACATCGGGTAAGTGCTCTGTTACAGCTCACACATACTATAACTCTCAAATGAAAGGCGAAGGTGGCGCGAGGAAGGAGATGAAAATTACCTGAAGTTAGAATTCTAAAACTGTTTTTGCTTTTGCATGGCGGTGGTAATCATCTGGGGGTAAGAGACTAGATAATACATGATTGTTTAGAAAACGCGCTTACCTGTATAAGAAGCTCTGAAGAGCCCTACTCTACAACTACCATTTCAGCACATTTTGAGTGTCTTCATCCATTTTTGTAGGTATCTAATTCCCCTTTTTACCTCACATTTAGTTTTCCGTACATCTAGTTCGTAATACGCTCCAGGGATTTTAACAGACTAGACTAAAAGGGAATTAATTTTTGACCCATATTTGAGTTCATTTTCACTTGCCCTACGTCTTACCTGAACGTCATCACACTCTCCAAGTGGAGCAGTACCGACATGGAACTTTTCAAAAGTGTAGCAATGCCACATTGTGAGCCTTCCTTATCCTTCTTTCTCTACCAGGTGCCAGTGACTTAACAGTTGGTAAGTAAATGTGCAGAAACAGATTATAAGGTTAATGTTTTCCCTTAGATACAATTTGTCAATAGGTCTATAAGTCACTTTCAACGGTTTAAATAATATATATGTTTCGATTCGATGCGCGCACGTTGAATTGTATTACATAGAGACCAATTACATGCACAAGATGCAAAATTATATCATTGTTCCTGACACTTTTTACAGCTTGTGCCGAGCAAATGGTAACACTGGGATAACTGCCATCTTTGCCGGTTGTAAAGGGCTATCAGAGAACTATAAAATTGTTTTGATGACGCATACAAAAAGCCGTGTAGCAAAAAGTCTGAGCGGGATAATTTTTAGCTTTTAGAAGCTCCCTACACCATTCAATTGAACAAATTTATGAGTGTTACACTGCAGTTTACTAGCATTCACCACGTAAAGGATCGCATTAGTTTTTTGTCCGTTTTTAAACAAAAATCAAACGAAACACTTCAGGCGACCAAAGAGCGCAAAAAGGAGCTCCAAACGGCCAAAATCTTAAAGACCCTCGAGTGACCTTGTTCCAAGATTGGTTATTAGGTTGGTTCAAGCCAAGTGAAATACTTTACCAATCATAACGGGAGGTGAAAAAAAAACTTATTCAGTCGAAAATCGACAGGTCAAAATTCGATAGAAATAGTAGAGATGGTAAGTTTTGAGCTCGGTGAAGAATTAAGAAAGATGTTTTTCGTCTTGTCACGAGCGTGGGACAAAGAAAACATTCTGAGTCCCAATGAGGAATCGAACCTCAGACCTTTGGATTTGCGCTCCGATGCACTAACCACTGAGCCACAGAGACTCTTTGAATTCAAAATTGCTTCATTCATTTTCACTTCAGAATTCATCATGGCATTATTCATCTGCGAGCAATAATTATAACATTTCTCTTAACGGTCAAATCCTGTCAGTGATCCGCTTTCGATAAGGTACAGGCTCTGAATAGTGTATAATGCCATACTTTTAGGACAACGCCCTGATGATGCAGACTTTCAAAGGTTCATCCCCATTGTTAAAGACCGATTGTATGATTTGGATTTCAAACAGTATCATTACGTTCTTATTGCCAACAAAGTCCCTCCCAAGTACAGAGGAACTCCTCATTTATCTTTTCTCCAAAATATTCCTTGGATGGCTGTTTTTGACTTGTTTGATCCTGCCTCAAAGAAAGATGGATTACATTTTATTTGTAATGAGATGAATGACGCACCCAGAGCAAATATTACAACTCTGGATGACTTCAAAGACTTTTCGCCTGATTGGATTGATGACAAGAACTGCACTTTGTTCACAAAAGGAACGACTTGGATTTTTCAACCAGAGAATCTTCAAGACAAAGAATGGATCACGTGTTCAGCCAAGTACTATTTCTTCCATGCTCTGTCCGCTCTCAAGCAATACTCTCCTCTCAAGCGACTGATTGTTGTTATCCTTGGTCTTGGGGAGAACGCGATCACGGAGATGGCAGACATACCAGAGAGCTGTTTCACCATACTTGGTGGGGACGTGGCAAAGAAATGTGTTACCATCATCATTGAGAATGAGTCAGTTTTAGATGCATTAATGAAGGCTTCAAAACCAGCTTTACAAAAACGACTCAGAGATTGCTCTATTAGCAATATATCGTGGGAGTTACTGAAACATATTGTTCGCATGAAGGTCGGACCTGCTGAGTTTCAGGAAAAAGGAGCTACTACGATACTCCCTTTCATCACAGGTCCCATAGAAGTACTTAACAAAATTATCCACTCCTGGGAGGATCTTGAAATTTATTGCCCAAATCCTCGATTAACAAATTCAACGGAAGAAATTGAAAAAGCAAGAGAGACATTCTACAAAGGAGGACAAGTCAGCCAGGTTAACTTGCTTCACAACCACAGCATTCAAAGGACCCACGAGGAAGAGCTAATTCAGAAGATCGAGCAAGCAGTCAATTCTTTGAAAGCATCAGCCCGTGATTCTTGCTCTGTAAGAACAATCACTCTTCTCTTTGAGCCAGGATCGGGAGCAACAACTCTATGCCGTAGAATTCTCTGGAGTAAACGCAAAGATTATCGTTGTGCTGTAATCAAGTCAATTTCAAAGACAACAACTGACTTTCAAATCTCACAATTTCAAGCCTTTGGCTACGATGAACCTCACAGCATTTCACCTCCTGCTTTGATCCTCAGTGATAATTTCCCCGAGATCGACACACAAGGCTTGTCGGAGCGATTACAAGAGAGAGGAACAAAATGCGTTATGATCGCCACCTATCCTGTCGGAAAAACTGGTGCAGACACTACTTCAGATAGCAAACCACTGGGCCAACTGGATAAAGATGAAATGATCCTTGTAAGGGCCATCCTTATCAATGTGACCAACGACAAGGGACGTCGAAAGGAGGCTGAAGAAGTGCTCGAGAGAGAAAGACGATTTATTTGGCTTGGATTGGAGCTCTTCGGTCGGGAGTATGTGAAGATTGAGGAACGAGTTCGTAATCACATCCAAAGCATTCTGTCTACCCTCGGAGATTCTCGTGACACACATGAGAGGCTGCTCCATTTTTGCTGCTTCCTCCATTTTTATAGTAATGGTGCAGACATCTTGCCCCACTCAGTTTTAGTTGACTTCCTTCAAGAAGAAAGTGTTGAGACAGATTCAGAGTGTGCTCAAGTGTCGTATATTCACGACAAATTCGGAGGTCTTATTCTCAATGAATTCAACGAAACTTACGGGTATCATGGCTGGCGACCTGCACACTCCCTTGTCAGCGAATTCGTCAAATCACAAATGAATGGGAAAGAAATTGCAGAACAACTTTTAGAACATGCCGATAGAGGAAAGGCTTACGTCAACAAATATTTAAAACAACAACTTTTCCAGATTCTGTTGCATCGTGAAAGGGTATTGTCGTGATATTGCGTTACACGGTCACGCCACTGGGCCGATGAACATCTTTATACTTAGAAGACTAGGGAGACAACGAATACACACGTGGCGGCAGTCGCGTTCGCACAATAAACAACCCTTTTGAGTTCACAGAATCGTGACATGGTGTCAGGAGTGGGATCTGTTCACCCCTAAAGATGACAGAAGCAGCTGAAGCATCCATAGCTGTGCCACCAGCGCCGACTCAAGTTTTTATTCCCCCGTCAAATTTGCCCCCGCCGAAAGCGCTTAATTTTGACGACAATTTAGCCACCGCATGGAAATCGTGGAAAGCAGCGTGGCAGCGCTACGAAATCGCTACTGGTGTATATAAACAAGAGGGCATAGTTCGTGTGTCGACATTACTAAGCATTATAGGCGAGGATGGCGTCAGAGCCCACGATACCTTTATTTGGAACGAAGACGAAAACGCAGACGACATTTCACAAGTCCTGAAGAAGTTCGACGAATTCTGCATTCCTAGGACACAGGTCATATATGAACGCTATAGGTTCAACAACCGAAACCAGGAACCAGTCGAAAACATCTCGATGTATCTTACGGAGCTTCGAACGATCGCAAAAAACTGTGCACACGATACAATCACACCAGATGAAATTTTGCGTGACCGCCTCGTGCTAGGCATACGGGATGATCGCGTCCGCGAGAGACTTCTCCGTTTGAATGATTTATCTCTCCTACAAGCAGTTGACATTATTAAGTCGTCAGAACAGACCCAACAGCAAGTAAAGCTAATGGCTGGAGGAGACACTGCAGTTCATGCGTTACGGAAGGCGGGATCGGCAGAAAAACCTGAAGAAGAACGACAACTTAAGTCACAAGCATTTAGAAGACCGTCTAAAGAATGTGGAAATTGCGGAATGGTGCATGGACGTCATTGTCCCGCGTATGGAAGAACATGTTTTAACTGTGGGAGTATGAATCATTTTGCGAATAAATGTCGCGCTAATCCCCGAGGAGTGAAAAGTAGAGTTTCGGCGGTCCACGAAGCCGTCGACATGGGAAACGACCCCTACTACATTGGTGCTACTACTAGTAAGAGCAAAGGCCAGGAAAAATTGGCAGTGGTCAAACTCCACATTTATGGGCCAGATCCCAAGACCGAAGTCCAGTTTCAAATAGATACTGGGTCGCAGTGCGACATTCTCCCGGCCCAATTATACAAGCAAATCACTGGGGACACCCTCCTTCATCGCCTCAAACCATGCCAAAAGGAAATAGTCTCGTACACAGGGGATCGCCGCAAAATTGCTGGTAAAGCTACCCTGCCTGTGTGGTCCCGTGGACAGCGGAGGTCAATGGAGTTTAACATCTTAGACGGAGACTATCAACCGATTTTATCATTGAACACCAGCCTCAATCTTGGCTTTGTGAGTTTGAATAATTGTGACGTCCTAGCATTACACGTCAAGTGTCCCAAAGCCTCCTTGCTCGAAGAGTATGAGGACGTATTCGACGGATTAGGGGCCCTACCGGGAACATACAAAATAGCCATAGACGAACAGGCGCAACCAGTTGTCCACGCACCGAGGCGAGTGCCAGTAGCCTTGCGTCCATGCATCAAAAACAAGCTGGACGAACTTGTTGATCGTAAAGTTATTATTCCAGTAACAGAACCGACGCAGTGGGTATCCAGCATGTTGGCCATAGTGAAGCCAAACAAAGTACGCATCTGTATTGACCCGAGAGATTTAAATCGTGCCATTCGGCGAGAGCATTACCAGTTGCCGACTATCGATGAAGTGGCCTCCCGCTTAACAGGTGCCAAGAAATTTACTCTTTGTGACGCCAAGGATGGTTTCCACCAAATCCTCTTAGACGATGCTTCTAGTTTCCTGACAACGTTCAATACGCCTTTTGGGCGTTATAGATGGGCCCGCATGCCTTTTGGTATCTCAAGTGCGCCTGAAGTTTGGCAGCGACGCATGCATGAATTCGTAGAAAATTTAGAAGGAGTTGAAGTTATCGCTGACGACTTCCTCATCGCTGGATTTGGCGAAACTGACGCAGAGGTCAACTCGAGCCTTGAAAAGAACGAACGTGCGTTCTTCAAGAAATGCCGGGAGTGGAACCTCAAGCTCAACAAACTCAAGCTGAAAAGATCTCAAACCGAAGTGCGTTTCATGGGCCACCTCTTGACTCCTGATGGTCTAAAGGCAGACCCAGCCAAAGTTGAAGCTATTTTGGATATGCCACCGCCGACTGATGTGAAAGGCCTGAAGAGGTTTTTGGGGATGGTCAATTATCTGGCCAAATTCTTGCCACTCCTGTCCGACATGACAGAACCTTTGCGAAGGCTTGAGGACAAGGACGTCGAGTGGTGTTGGCTTGCACAGCATGAGAAGGCATTTACCACAGTCAAAGAATACTTGGTCCAGGCCCCGGTACTGAAATACTATGATGTTACTGAAGAAGTGACAATCCAATGCGATGCCAGCATAACGGGTCTAGGTGCAGTACTGATGCAAAAGGGTCAGCCCGTTGCCTTTGCCTCGCGAGCTCTGACCGACACCGAAACGCGTTACGCTCAAATCGAGAAAGAGCTCCTCGCCATAGTGTGGTCAACCGACAAGTTCAATCAATACATACTGGGACGCGAAGTTGTACACATCGAGTCTGACCACGAACCTTTAAGGGCAGTTTTTACCAAGCCAATACACAACTCACCAAAGAGACTCCAGAGAATGCTGATGGCCCTTCAGAATTACTCCCTGGATGTGCAGTATAAAAAAGGGGAACTTATGTGGGTATCAGATGCACTGAGTCGAGCATACCGCAACACCACCGAAGCCTCCAAGCACGATACAAGTCTGATCTGTACACTTGCCGAGATAGATCATTCAGAAAACCTCTCGATTGCACCATACAGGCTCGCTGAATTCAGAAACGAGATTGCCAGGGACCCAGTGATGCAAAAGCTAATCGGAGCAATCAAGGGTGAATGGCCAGTGTCAAGGAAGTCCTGTACCCCTGAGCTGACGCCTTACTATGACAAACGAAGTGAGCTTATAGAAGACAAGGGACTAGTATTCCTGGGGGAGCGATTGCTGGTACCCCTTCCCTGAGAAAAGAAATGTTGAAGCAAATTCACCGATCACATATTGGAATCGAAGGGTGTTTACGTCGCGCTAGGGAGGTCCTCTATTGGCCCCTCATGAATTCGGAAGTAAAGGACTTTGTTTCCAAATGCTCAATCTGCCAGTTGTACCAGCCAGATCAGTGCCGCGAGGAATTGCAACCGTATCCGATCCCGTCGCGTCCCTGGTCGATGCTAGGTGCCGATTTTTTTGACCTTGGGCAACAACATTTCTTTGTCCTAGTCGACTACTGGAGTGGGTTCTTTGAAGTCCAGGAGGTTAAGGTGGCCACATCTGCTAGCGTGATAGCTGCGTGTAAAGTACAATTCGCCCGCCATGGGATACCAGACGTGCTTATTACCGACAACGGACCTCAGTTTACGTCATCGGTGTTCAGTGCATTCGTGAGAGAATGGCAGTTTGAACATAGAACTTCGAGCCCCCGTTACCCCCAGTCAAATGGCCGCGCCGAGAATGCCGTGAAGACCTGCAAGAACTTGATGACGAAAGCGAAAGCGGATGGGCAAGACCCGCTGTTAGCCCTTCTTGATTGGCGCAACACCCCAACAGAGGGTCTAGGAACATCACCCGTACAGAGACTGATGGGACGCCGCACACGCACTTTCTTACCAACCCATGAAACGCTCCTGCGGCAGCCATCACACCAGGAAACAGCCACCAAATTAGCTGAGCGCAAGAAAAGACAAGCTCAACAATACAACAAAAAGTTTCGCCCTTTAGAGGCACTAAAGTGTGGACAGGCCATCAGGATGCGGCTTCCCGGAAGGAAGGAATGGAGTCTGGGGACCTGCATGAAAGCCTTGGGGAACAGGTCTTATGAAGTTGAAGTTTGCGGCAGGCGATACCGACGCAACCGTCGGCAACTGCGCCTGACCCCGGAAACAGCACCACCTATGAGTCTGGTAGAACTAACTCCGCCCGAGTCTACCCTCAAACCGGCGCCAAATCTGACAGAGCCAGGACCTCCTCCACCGGAGTTCCATGGCGAGACCAAAACAGAGAGAATGCCACCTGAAAATGAGATGGGAACTGAGCTTGAGCCACAAAGGATTGAAACTCGTCGATCAGAACGCAGACGTCGACCGCCTTTGTGGCATCAGGATTACCATATGAACTGAACATTGAATGATTGAGCCGCTAAATAGTTGTTGGGTCTGTTTCTATCTTTTTATGATTTCAATGAAGAACAATGTTTTATCGATTTTATGTGATTTGAACAGTGATCGAAACCGAACATTAAGTATTAATTAACTTTTGAAGATAAACTTTGTAAAAAGGGGAAGATGTCGTGATATTGCGTTACACGGTCACGCCACTGGGCCGATGAACATCTTTATATTTAGAAGACTAGGGAGACAACGAATACACACGTGGCGGCAGTCGCGTTCGCACAATAAACAACCCTTTTGAGTTCACAGAATCGTGACAGGTATCTAATGAAGCAACCATTCCGCATGAAGAGGACGTGGCTGAAGATGAAATGAGTACTAGTATCGAAACTGAAGAACAAGGATCTTATTATGTCCGCACCCGGTACTCCCCGCTGATACTGGAAATTCTAGGGGGAGAAGATGGCAACCGAAGAACATTAGATTTACTCATTACGGTTTGCCAAAAGGCAAGGAAAACGGAATATAAAGCGTTTGCCTGGCAGTATTTGGCAAGATTCATTGGTTATGAGATGCGATTCAAAAATTTTGATGGAGAGGACACTTTACACAGTCGTCTATTTGATGAAATGAATTTAAACAGAGAGGGGGGAGCCATGCAGTCCATGCCGGAAACTGGTATTCAAGCTGCCCACGTTGCAATTGATATCGCTATTAATCTACAACCCAAATATAGAAACCATTACACGACCAAAGGTGTTCTGTACATTCTACGCCTGAGAGACCTGAAAGCTGAATCTGGACATGATCTTGAGGCTTTAATGCCCGATGTCATTGACATAGGTCGCAAAGCACTGGAGGTGTATGATCACGTAATACCGGGAAAACACGGACACAACCTTTACTCCGTGATTGGCAAAATACAAGTCATTGTCCTCCTCCTAAAAATCGTGAAGTCCTTACCTTGCTTCTATCTGGAGAATAGCAGCTACACAAGGTATCTCGAAGGGGGAAAGATCCCAACAGGAATGGCAGACGTGCTTCCGCAAGAAGATCACAGCTTTATACAGAGCCTTGGTCAAATCACTCTGGACACACTTAACGAACTTTTTCAGGATGTCAAATACAAGCTGCTGACCACCTGTGATAAAAATGAAACAAGGCGCCTAAGCTGCACAAATGTCAGGGCATGCAAGTTGCGAAGAGAATTTTACGAGATCACTGAATTTGACCGAAGTGAGATGATGGATACCCAAGAGAACTTATCATCCCAGTCTAAAGAGGCAGCACTCCACCATAGGCAAGTGGTACAAGATGTCCTTTTCAGGGAAAATGAAACATCTTATAGTGCCTGGTGCAAGCTTGATGACGAGACAGTTTTAAGAATTTATAATCTCCTAAAACAAGTTTTTCAGCGGGGTCGTGGAAACCATGACGACATGGTGATTTTCTGTCGAGCCTGCCTGCGTCTACAACAAACGAAAGTACCAGTTGACGAACTCGAGAGTGTTGTGCAGAAGTGGGTGAAGAGGAATCCTGATTCAGAGTGGGCGCATCTTTTTAACTATATGATCCATTTCCCAATTCCAAATGGAAGTTTGGCAACCAATACTTCAGAGGCATCAAAGTCTGTCGAAAAATGTTGGAGAAACGTTCGTCAGAGGAGAGGCATGGGTGCTCGTAAATCTGCCACAGAGTACTTTCTTGGAAATGGCATGGGGCTCTCTGCCATAGTAAGCCGTCAACAGTTCCCAGAGCTAGAGAAAAAGCTGGAATCAAAAACTGACTTCTGGAGAAGCAAAGAAGTATCTGAGACACTCTTGCGAGTACGAGGTCAAAAGAAGTCAAAGGGAATCATAACATATCACGGAATTCAACTTCATTTTGACGACTCACTTTATCCAAGAGAGAGTAAAGACGACCTCTGGTTTTATGTTGGCTTCTCAGTCGCTGGTCCTTATGCATTTGATCCTATCGACAAGGACACTTATAATTCCATCATGAACAGGAAGCAAGGGAAAAGAAGAACACCACACTCATCCATGAGGAAGTCAAAGTTTGGTGGTAATGCTGCAAAGAGTGTTGTTCCATCGAGAAGAAAAAACCAAAAGGTCAATCAGATAAGAAGAATTCCTGCTAAAGTAGAAGCCCACACCTCTTTTCAGGACGGTAAAAAGCTACCAAGGGAACTTGCCTCCTGTCCATCTGGATCGGAAATCTACTCCCAGTCAGCCAATGAAGCTCTTGATTTGCCTTTAGCTGCCAGTGACGAGTCTCCGAAGTCTGGAATGACGGGTGCTTCAACAGGCACCCACAAAGACGGTGCAAATACCACTCAGATATGTACTTACGCAACTGTGGTAAAGCAAACAGCTGCAAAAACCCAGGCACAAGGTCTGAAACCTAGCCAGTTACCCAGCAGACAGACTTTGGTTCCTCAAAAAGGTGGCTCATGGAAAGCCGTCGAAGGGACCCAGGGAGGAGTGACGCAGGAGTTCCAGCCAACACACGTTGATCAGGAAGGAAGACTGCACCATGGTTCTAAGGTTCTAGGGGCGTTTAAGTCTGTAGAATGCAGGATTCACAAAGGCCCTCGTTCTCTCCTTTCCGGTATCGATGATTGCAGCTTTGCGCATTCATGGAAGGGGGATACGCGGCAGTTTGTATGTATCATGTGCACACGAGAAAAAAAGTGTTGCAGACAAAAAGAGGAACATAAAAAGTTTATTTGGGACTTAGGCCCCTATCTTAACGAAAACGGTACCTTATGGAAAAACCCTTACGCCTGATATGAATTAACATATTAAGGTACTCGTTCCTCGTAGTATTGTGTTTTTTCTTTAAGTTCCTAGTTCAGAACTGCCTCGAATGTTAAGTGGAGAAAAACTTAGAGGAATTTCGATTCAAAAGTTGATGTTTCTTAGAAATCGCCCTTTAGGTTATTGCAGGATGAAATCAGACAAAATCAAAAGCTCCTTTTGTTATCACGAAATATCTTACAAGACCAAACGTTCCCCTGTCTTTGTATTAAGGCACAGAAGTAAACAAGCGGTAACATTTAACAAATTCCATCAGTGGTTCTCTTTTACTGCATTCCTGACAGTTTTTGTGCCCATCAATTTTAAACTTAAACATTAACATGCTAATCTAGGTTTGTAGTTTAACATTACTTTCTAGTAACAAAAGGATGTCATTTGACCTGTAAAATTGAATGGCTAACCTACAGGTAGTCAAAGCAGTAGTTCAAAACTACTGTATTGTATTGAAACACTTTTCTTACTTTGATAGCTAGCCTGTTTTTGCTCGATTTAATGATCAGATTTCTCAAGGACCAAACTTAGCCTAAGTAAAACTTGAGTTCAAATTACAGATATCTCGTAGCAATAAAGCTGACATCGCTCTATCTTGTGGAGTGTTTTGTGCATTAGCAGTTAACCTCATTCCCAGGGTCTTTTTTATTCTCATGTCACTGCCCCCGTAGGGATTGCCGGAAGAAGACAAAGTGGGTATGACTGGCTTTGTCTTCAGAGTAAGTTCTTAAGGGTTTAACTTCTTTCACAAAGAAGAATCACTTCCATTGTTCTTCGCACCTACGGAAAATAGACTTGTCGTATTCCCAGGTTGCCAAACGCATCATCATCTGTAGTGTTTTCTTGTTAGTTCCTAAAGATTAACAACATAATTTTAGGTTAAAAATTTGTAAATCGAGTAAGCTATCCAGCTTCCTTTCAACAACAGATGAACATCAAGTAATGTTAATTGAGCCAAGCGATCCGTAAACTTTAAGCTGCCATATGCGGAAATTATTTTCAAAGAGGAATACTTTTAATTGTATGAGCAACAATTTGGTAAAAACAGAAAAGACATTTACAGTCGAAATTTGAAAGACACCGTCAACCTCTCACTCACACGGAAGTAATGAGATATCGAGAGTTCTTTATTATGACGACGCTAAAATGGACTCAAACGTCAGAAACGGAGCTTCCTTAAAGTTATCGCATATGTTCTCGTAATCGTGAGAACATATGATATCTCTAATGATCGTCCTTGTAATCATTGCAGCTTATCACCTTTGTTTGTCCGTTAAGGCTTGGGCTTGTCATTGTAGATTCTGTCGGTCTGCAACGAGGCAAATGATCGTTATCTAACGGAACTAACCACAGATAATTTCCAAAGCGCCTTTAGGGAGCAATATGATGATTTCTAAATCAAATTATTTATATTTCCTCCACACTAAGACGATAAACTACCAAGTGGACTACGAGATGAAAGCTCTAAGAGCCACAAGGATCACTGTTGGAAAGACGACGATCAACTCCACTGTTAACAATCTTTTCCTTACCCACAATCCGTTAGCCGGTTAAATACCATTCAATCTAGGGGGGTCCCGATTAGATACATCCCATGATATCAGTGTTTTTCGTCCCTTCTCTCAAGGGGTTGCTTTTGGAAAACTATGGAAATCAATTGAAAAACTCGTAAAGGCCACTTTTTTCCTTGTAACCGTCGATGAAATAAAATAAGGAAGTATGGTATCCTAACTATTTTATTCTTTTATTGATATTATCGAGTTCACCGGGAAAAAAGCCTGACCATCCTTGCAAAATTGGAGCAACCACGCAACGTGTAGCAAAGTTGGTGGAATGAACATTTTTTAAAACTTTATGTCACGTATATAACCTCTCTAAGCTCTCCAATAAAGTATTTCGAGAGAATCTTTTTGGCTTCCGTCGAGTGACCTATGTCGTGGAATACGGTGGTTGCATCCATACCTGCAACAGTTTTGAAAATGCTTAGTGTCATTCATTTCGGAGCTGGGTCTAGTGAAATACTACACTTACGCATATTTTCGAAAGTGAAAAATACCAGAAGAGGATCTCTTATGCCTAGCTCCCCATAACGACCGAAAAGTTAGCAACTGTGTTCCCAACCCTTGCATTATACCAAATATTAAAGATTTGGAAAGTGCAAAAGAGCAGAATCAGCTATTCACTCACCTGCATGTTCCAATATTATTTCAAGTCCTCCAGGATGCTGAAACAATGATGTATAACACTTCTTTTAGGTTAATACTGGACTAAAAATCTTCAACCAAAGGCTTTGTAAGATCTAAGCGCTTGCTAGTCATTTTTCGTGTAATACGTATTTATTTATTTCGTCTTACATTTTTTCATACCTCCTCGTTAATGTTTTTTGTTACGTTTGTTTGCGTTTTTCTTCGTCAGGTACACCTTTTTCGCACGTTTCTCATACCATACGTTATTTCGCAGTCCTCTTGTATTTAAAGCCAGTTTCTTTTAAGCATAATCACTATCAAGTCAGTTTACCTCAGGAGTTCATATTATCTTAGTTTACCGAAAGTCAAGCTTGGCGCAGTTCTCTGTTTTAGAAGTCGATTTTACAGTTATATATTGGGTGTTATCAATGTAAATATTTTTTCGTTTCACTTTGTTTGTCTTGATTTTTTGTTTGTAGTTTGTTTATCTTAATAAATTAACTTAAATCTTATTTATGTTTTTAGTTTCAACCTGGCACTATTACTGCAAGCTAATAAACAGTATCATTTCGAGCTGGAAAGATAACGTTTTCTGCCGTTACAGGCTGCACTACCAACAACTGGATTAATTACTCCTATACTTTAAAAACTTCAAAAATTGTATACTGCAATTATTCATTACAACTGGTCGGGTGTCATAAGTTTTTCTCTGAAGAACTGAGCTCGAAAATTGATATTGCTAACCACGTGGCTATCATCAATTTCGCAGGTAATAGACATTGTGTACTTTGGGTCTACAGAGCAGTAGTTTTCATTAAGGGTCACCGCAACTGTTGACGTGCATGGAACTAAGTTCCTCTCAGCACGACTTCTCTAAAAATGTTTACCATTCCGAAAAAATCGTTCGGAGACAAAAATGTTTAATATATTTAAAAATTTACGAGTTCAACTCGGAGTTTTACCTCGTACAAAAAGTTAGTCAAATCATACACTTTATCCTGAATTACAATCCAACAGGAAGACACGTCGTTATGGTATGAAACTTCCTCCAATGAGAACGTGTTTGGTTTCATCGGAATTATTGTCATCCTGTCACAGCCCGATAGTGTCAATTGCTAACAGCGACGATACAAAAATATTTTAACCTAGAGGAAAGCGAAAAATAATGTGTCAACGATAGCTAAGTTGAACGTAAACATGAAGACTAGTCTAAAGCGGGAAAACTTGTGGACGTCTGTCTCCTTCGCAAATGAATAATTATACATCGTTTTGATCCTTCCTTATCTGATTTACACCATCTTCAGAATTTTTTTCTCTTAAGGATGTCCATATTTAACCATTCAGTCGTCAAAGCTAAGTAAGAATTACTATAGTAAATTCTGGAGCTAACGATGAACGATACATTGGCTATGATCTGGTGATCATAGGAGAAATGGATACGCGATCTCAATCACTGAGAAATTCCCAAGTGATAGGATTGGTACAATGTATTTTTTCTTCAAAGTGTTAAAGGATAATGTACACGTGCTTTAGTTGTAAGTCTTGTCACAGTGCAATTAGGTTAAGTACATGATATATCTACTGTGTTCTAATATTCCATATAAAGTACACAGGAATCATTTTTCCGGGTACGTTAGGTTTGTATTGTAACTTCTTCCGAACGAGAAACTTTTAAAACTCTTTTGTATCGTACCTGGCAACCAGAGGGAGTTTCTTTTTTTCTAGTACCACAATCGTACTCCTTTCCAAAGAACCGTCAAAAATTAGCGTTTGAAAACGGAAAAGGCGCTCCGTAACTGACGAAAACTTACACGTTAAAGTATTGGTGGCTCCCATCGATTTTCAGCTATTAACGAGCTCTAAAAATATTTAAAATCATATAAAGCAGCGACCTGTGCTATGAATAATTGAACCATCAAACAATATACCGTAATCACTTGAAAGCAATGTTCATAGAAAGACTGATTGGTCGAACAGATATCTAAAATAGACTAAGATAGGTCTTAGTTGTAAAGAATCAGTTCTCTAAACCAGCAACGGACCAAAAATACCAGTCATCTAAAATTTTCATGCAAATAATCTGCCACTTGGAACAAATCAAACCCCATTCAAAATAAATTTACACGACGGAATTTAATTGTTCGAATCACACAGCTAGCTATGAATAATTGAAAAGCGAGGTTTACTGTGCAAAACTGTATGGACGATAATGTGAAACTACTAAATTATGACAATAACTTGAGCGAAGGAACGGGAAGTATTTCCGGGAAACACAGCATACAACTGCAAGCCATATTGTTATTGTTTTTTTTGTAAATGAGTTTACCGCAGAATCATGTATTTCATTAATACTTCCTTTTGCAGAGCTTGTGTCATTTCAAATCATATCGCTTTCCAGTGAAACTTACTAGCGCCGAAACACCAGCGGCGAAGCCCTCGATATTCGAGCTGACAAGCGAAGTCAGGAACGTGCGATACCTGGCGGACTTATTAAGTGCTCAAATCGCCGCCAGCTCGAAGAGAGTCGGGCTTCGCTGCTTGTGTTGCATGATTTTGTCTCTTGGACTAGCCCTCTTTCTGAGCAACATGTCTCCCTTTGGATGGCAAAGTCGATGATGTATGACTCTCATGTGCAGCATGGGCAATTGCCTTAAATAAAATTACACATATTCTCCCTGAATATGTTAGATGTGGATGGACGAGCAATACGAGGGAGGTAAATGTTGAGGGTTTCAAAGACATGGCGAGACGCCCCTAAGGAAAACGCTTTCCGTCTAGGTGAAAATAGCCCTTGCAAGGGTCGAAATAAATTTTAGAAGAACTTGGCTTTTGACGAGAATATATATGAATTGTTTGAATACCGAGAGGATATATCTGCATTCGCGCGACGACCACAAACAGGAAATTCTGCCCACAGGTAAGAAACACTCTCTACCTTAGTTACCGCACAACGTGCGTGTGAACATAACAGAGGTCCAATTCGTCTCTCTAACTGAGCCTCACTCGTTTGGAAAGGCCCATAATTGTGTGATTGCGAATTTCTTTTCTCGAAAATACATCGAAAGCTTCTGACTGATCCTATCATCAAATCAAATGGCGTCGTCATCGAATCGAGGTTTTCACCAGAATGATAGCTCACGTAAACGTTGTTTAAGAGCGACGGTCAGGAAATATCGACCATTGAGTGGCAAGAGTTGAAAAATTAATTTCGCTTATTTTCTGACTATAAAAAGCTACTAAGAATAGAAGAAATTTCATGTATTTCTTTTTCTTCCGGAGCGCTTTAATTCTGAGAAAACTGAGAAAAACGAATTTGACCCGCGACGATCCCGAAAGGTCCCGCAAGCAAGTGTGAAATTGATATTTTAAACTGACTTTTGGTCTTCAAGGAAAAACGATTCAAAGGATCATGACACCGAATTTTGATAGAGTGAGTGCCGTACTTTCCCAGAAACTATATGACTTATCTTTATTGTTGTTCATAAATAGCAAACAACGCGCAGGAAAGTGCTGTATTTTCCGCAAATACCGCAAATACCT